AAAAAAACAGGTAGCCCATCTGAATTAGGACATTTAGGCTATCCATCTAATAGTAGCCTACCAAAATCTTATTAACAGTAGAAGTTAAATCTTACTGTAGTCTTCAAATCTGGGTACTGTCTTACGTTTTAAAATCACAAAGGGAGTTTGGTCCCATCAGGCTAACTTGACACGTCACGACTCATGCAGCTGTAAGGTTTTCTTTTTCTTTTGTTTTTACTCGCGATCTTTACAACACGCATTACAGTACGTATTTCATGGCACACTCGTTTTATGCGTATTTGGCGCCACCTATTGTTGTGGGTGTATTATTGACATGTCAAAGTCTAGACCCTGAATATAAGACGACCGCGTTTTTTCAGATGTATTTCCAAGAAAAAAAACATCGTCTTATATTCGGGTCAATACGGTATGTTTTGGGTCATATTTATGCAGAAATAGGCAATTCTAAAGGGTTCACAAACTTTCAAGCAGCATTGTATACACACACATATATATATATATATATATATTTTGGATACTTTCCCCACCCTCTGTTTGAAATTGCTGTCAAGTATTGATGCATTTGATTATAACTGTGATGGGTTGAATGTTCAGTCAGATTTAAGGAATATATCCTTTTTAATCTGTTGACGTTCTGGGACTCTGTTATAGAATAGTGCTTAAAACTACTTAAAGCTGTCCTCCCAGACGGATCAGGTCTGTTATCTTACTGAAAGGAAATTGGCAGATTTGAAAGCACACACATATATTCAGATGAGAGGAATGACACATTGTTTGGTCACTGAGGATTTAGATTTAGAGAGATAATTAAGATGTTTCATTCAGATTATTAAAATCACTCTTTAGTGAGGATGTGCCTTCAAAAGGACTCAAAAGAAAATAATTTAATTCCACAAACATGGACTGTTTTCACCTCCGATATGAGGAAATGAATAAGAGGAAAGGGGTCAAAGGCATATGGAGATATTAATTCTGCACAGATGTGTGCAGGGTCACGAAGGGGCGCTATGTTTTATTATAACTCCCCTGGATTATGATGGAACGGCGGAAGCCGCTGTACCAGAGGACTTCAGTCCACACCGGTTCCAGATAATTGATTCCAATCTGAGATTTATGTTTCAGCGAATGTCCGGAAAAATGAGTTTGTGATGTTCGCGGAAATGATGTCTAGCCTTCAGATCAGTGTCAGAGGTAGATATCCTTCATCCCATCCTGGATGAGCTCAGACCTCGTCGTTGTCGCAAAATACTGCATCCCAGCCCATGGACACAGGCTGATGAGTTTTTCCCTGTGGATCGCTGCCAGTGGAAGCTGCCAACAACACTCATCTCCACAGGCTGGCTGGACCTTAAAGGCCTTGCATCAGGCAAAAGAACAGCATCTGGGGAATTTTCTGCCTAGAGGAGGATGGGGGTGGCAGGTTGTTGAGATTTATGATTGAAGGGGGCTATGATGAGAGGGCATGGATTTGATAGGTGATATAATTGTTCTGCCACTCAGGATCAGTAGACAACATGCTCGTATGTTCTTCATGAGCAGTGTGGGTTACTGACAGATACAGACTGCTCGCGCCTGATAATACAGTGGACTGACTGATCCAGTCAATCTGACATGTTTCACATGTGGTGGTGGTTAAAGAGGTTTTGTAGTTTTGCACAATGATTTTTTTTTCTCTATCGTTTCTTTTCTATCTTATGACACTAATTTTTCCCAAGGGTGGTGTGGCAGAGTGGATGAAGCTTAGAATGTGTAATCAAATGGTGGATGGTTCGATTCCCACAAGTAGTAAGCCATAAGCTTTCACAGTTTTGCCCTTGAGCAAAACATTTAACCTCAAGCTGCTTGAAGGGAAATTATTCCAGCTGCTACCTTTTTAGAGTTACCTACATGTTTAAAATTCACTGCAATGATGCTAGGATGTCCTAGGGTGTGGAGATTTTATACACACAAATGCAGGTAAATTGTCTTCTTTTATGTTTCAAAGAACGTTTGTGAAAATAAAATGTCAAAATATTGGTGAAATAATGTTCTATCGCCATTCAGCATAACAGATATGTAAAAATTAAACAATATATAAAAGAAAAAGTAATCATACTGAATTGTATTATTTTTTAAATGATTAAAAACTTCTTGCTGACAAATGGGTAAAACCTAGTGGTTTGAATGATAGTGGCGAAGATTGGTAAAAGTTTTAAAATTCCAATTGTTTTTTGCAGGGAAGCATTGTGATTCTTTTGTGAGTCTTTTAATCTAATGATTCTGGTTCTAAATATGCATGACAAGATTTTTTGTTATCTGAATTACACTGAATTTATTACACTGAATGATGTTTTAGTGGGTGTCTTCTGTAAATAATGGTAAAAATGTATGATAGTCATTATTTTTTGCTTGGGTGGGGGGGGGATGTACAGGAAAAAAGTAAAGCTTTATTAAACTTATATTGTTTTGATGCTTGACAACCTCATTTTGTATTTGAATATGAAAAATATATATATTATGTATTTTAGTTTTTTATATTTCATATAGCAAATAAAAAATAAGAATATTTTATATTTAAATTTTTCTTACTTTTAAAATTATATATTTCTATATAATTATATATTTTCTACTAAATTAAATTATGCAGAAAGTTGGAAAAAGTATGATCTGCTTACACCTTAGGGGTGGGCCTTCATACTTTCAAAAAATCGTATGTTTTAGTTATATGCAATTTGTAATTTTAAATATTTACAGTACATTTACCTGGTTAGACTCTCAGAAGTATTTTTTGTAAACTGAACTTCATATGTGAACCATTAACATTATGTACAATCAGCAGATCTTTTTTTAATGTATTACCGGTACTACTGTTTTACCCATTTTAACTAAGAATTTTTTTTAAATCTCTTACTCTTTGCAATAGTAAATTAGATGCTGAAAGCTGTAAATGTTGACTAATATCACTGTCCTCTTGAAATGCATCTCTAGAACTCCCTGTTCGACATTGGGCAGGAGGCCCAGTGGTGTTAATGTAGATCTAGCCCTTGGTTCTGACCCACATTAACCCACCCGCATAGGTTCAGACAGGATGGTGTGCTGAGAAAGCAAAATCTCCTTTCTCGTTCTTACTGAAACACTGAAAGAATCAAAGCTTCGCTCCACAAGCGTTTGCACAGCAGTTAGCCACCTGTTTCTAATGTCTCTCTATTATATGTACTTTCGCGATGAATTGTGCTTTGAGGAATGCTGGCAAGACACCAGAGCATATTTATCCCTCTCAATTTTCCTCCATATTATTCCTCCCTCCCCAGCTGTTTACAGATCCAAGGAACATGCATGCAGTATTAAGGATTTTCGCCATGCTTTCTTGCAGCTTTTTCTGGAAGCAGATATTAACTTATGCCAATCATACCGGCTCATGGTCTCATGCCTTTGCCATTTGGCTCTAGAGGTCTGTCACCCAAGCCAAGCTTTTAGGCAGCATTCTGATCAGTTTTTCATGTTAAACGTCCAGTTTGTAATCTATTAAAATATGTTTTTATTTAAATATGAAATTATATAGATGTACATATAATTTTAAATGATTTTAATTAATTGTTTAAATATTATAATGTAATGTTTTTGAGCAAAAACCTCAAAGTCAGTTTTGAACTTCCAAAAAAAATGATAATCAGTGATCATTATTGTAGATAAAAACCAACCCTTTTATCATTATATGACTACTTTTTTTGTCGTCAATCTCATATGACTTTTTTTCTCTCGTGAGCACAAAAGGACTTATTATCATAAAGCTGATTATTTCCATATAATTAAAATGCATGGTGATGACTGACTGTCAACTTCAGTTACAATTTTGCTTGGGTTATTAAACATATATAGTTATAAACATTAAAATATTATAATAGAACAATAGATTATCTAAAGAACTACTATCTATTTATTTATTTATTGCACATTTTTTGGCTCATTTCATGATACCTCTGATGAGGTCACAAGGTCTTATTTCTAATAGTGGTTTTGGCTGTAACTTTAATGCAGATGTATGCTTAGCCTGTGTCTGTGTTCTCTAACATGACATCTCTCACTACTGTGTTTTTCTTCTGATTTGATCCTTTATGTCAAGGGCTGTGCTGTTATGATGTAAACACTCTTTGACTGTACAGAGAGCCCTTACATGTCAGGTGAAGGCTATGGTTAGCTTGTCCCTGATGGCCATCCTGCTGTGTGTCAGTGTTTCTGTGTGACAGGACGTTTCCTATGAGAGGTGGGAACAGCTGTGTAGCAGGACTCGGGTAGATGG